TTCAAGGAAGGGGGCTCACTGGTCTCCTCGCTCTCCTTGACAACTATTCCAAGCAGAAAGATCATTTTGAAAGTCTCCGAGAGATTGATGCAGGAGAGAAGGCATTTAATGAAAAAAAACAACAGTGATTTGAAAATCCTTGGTAGACCAACTCTTGGGAAGAACTCGACATGCATGGCCGATCACCAAACAAGCATATGGGGATGACTGACTCAATCATTTATTTGAGCGCCGAAGGCCACATACGGCGTCAAAACGAGGCCGTTGCCACCAAAGACGAAGTCGAGCGTACTTTTTCAATCGTTCTGCTAAGCCAAAAGCAGACACGTAATTTATTGTTGTTCTCAAAAAAAACGGCAACATACTGAAAAATAAGCATCACTTTTTTAGATAATCTAATCATTGTTGCATGGAGCTGTGCGTATACACGAAATGCTTATTGTTTTACACAGAGATTTTGATAAAGCTTATATGTATCGTATGCCGCTTCAAAGCGTTGCGGCTGATTTTTTTGCGTTAGATGACGCTGAATTGATATATAGTGTAATTGAGTAATTTTCAGATGGCTGTAAAACGCTGAAAAGAAAACATTATGAAATTGTTTCTTCTCTGTACGTAAACATTTACAGTGTAGGTACATTTTATCTTAACAAAGTGTCAGTGCCAGCTGAGCTGACACCAGCTGGAACGGTGCCAGCTTATTCAGAAATTGTTTCAGTTCAGCACAGATTCATTCACATAAGTTTTCATAAATATTTAGGCCATAGTTCGGGTCCCTCAACGCGCATGCACACACCAAATTTGGACTCATACTATTGCGTTTTGGCTGAAAACAACGCCTTTGTTTGTTTGATGGACAGTATACTTGGGTCCGAATCGAATAGAAATTCGATCATTCGAATAAAACATTCGAATATATTAGTATTCGAAATTCGATATTCGGAGTTCTTCCATTTTCGAATAATATTCGAAACTCGAATAATTGAGAAAACGGGGTTTCGAATAAAGTTCGAAAACTCGAATGATCAAAAAACGAGGTTTCGAATATTATTCGAAAACTCGAATAATCAAAAAACGGGGTTTCGAATAGATTTTATTCGAACGTTTTATTCGAATGTTTATTCAAATTCGCATTCAAATGTACTCTGTATTCAGATTACTCGACTTTGTTGCAGAGCCAACTGCTGAGTATCAAGCTCACTTCGTCCGCGTCTTTTTCGCAAAACTCGGTAATGCATCTTTTGCAACCGGTATACCTTTGAACTGTATGGAGAGTCGCATTCTTCCGATTGCTTGCGACAGTAAAAAAACCATATGTGGATTTTAATTGATGTTTTTTCGATCAATGAGATTGTTCGCACTGCTATTGGCACTAAATCAGCAAAGAGGCTATCAAATTCAAACTCATGTTCCGAGTTCATACATTGAAAGTGTTTCGAAATGCCTGTTTTTCTCTCTTTGCATTGCTCATGCTTGTGGTACGCAAAGCCCACACTAGTGAGCACTCTTGCTCGCATAAGTTATATTGCACAACTGCCTCTATCCGCTATATACCTTAGAGATTTTTGGCGAATTGGTGTATTTTGAGTAAAGGACATCGCAATTGTAGTGGAGAATTAGGGCCCGCATGCACTAACCTCCCCGCTGGGGAGGGGATCGCAGCTTAAGGGCCGCATGCACTAACCTCCCCGCTGGGGAGGGGATCGCAGCTTAAAAGGAAGCTTTATATTTCGAAACTCCAGATACCTGGATTTCACGTTGTGTATCTATCCGTAAGTATTCCTACTATCCTTCACTATGAACATGTTGAAGAGGAGCGAGAAACTGTACGAACAGCATTTTCCAGCTTTTCTATGATCCCTGATGATCCCCGGCGCTTTTCTTTAAAGTCATTTTTCTTTCTCCGCAGTTAACGAAAACTTTCCAAAGCTGTACTGAACATGCATGATGCTGATGAGAACAAACGAGTTTTTGAAAAGTCGAATTTTTCGGTAAACCTCAAATTTCGACCTGTGGATCATCGAAAATTTCATGACTTCAAGACATCATTTGTTCTTATCAGCAACAGCACTGTCGGGTTTAAGCTGCGATCCCCTCCCCGCGGGGATGTTAGTGCATGCGGCCCTAAAAGAAAGCTTTATATTTCGAAACTCCAGATACCTGGATTTCACGTTGTGTACCTATCCGTAAGTATTCCTACTACCCTTTACTATGAACATGTTAAAGAGGAGCGAGAAGCTGTATGAACCGCATTTTCCAGCTTTTGTATGATCCCTGATGATCCCCGGCGCTTTTCTTTAAAGTCATTTTTCTTTCTCCGCAGTTAACGAAAACTTTCCAAAGCTGTACTAAACATCTAACACAACAGTGCTAAGCATGATGCTGATGAGAACAAACGAGTTTTTGAAAAGTCGAATTTTTCGGTAAACCTCAAATTTCGACCTGTGGTTCATCGAAAATCTCATGACTTCAAAACATCATTTGTTCTTATCACGAACATGCTTAGCACTGTCGGGTTGGATAATCTGCACACCTTTGGAGGTTTTTCGTTAACTTCGGAGAAAGAAAAATGACTTCAAAGAAAAGCGCCGGGGATCATCAGGGATCATACAAAAGCTGGAAAATGCGGTTCGTAGAGCTTCTCGCTCCTCTTCAACATGTTCATAGTGAGGAATACTTACGGATAGGTACACAACGTGAAATCCAGGTATCTGGAGTTTCGAATATAATGCTTTCTTTTAAGCTGCGATCCCCTCCCCGCGGGGATGTTAGTGCATGCGGCCCTTAGACGGTTTAGATCGCCGTACGCGATTTGCCAGTTACGAGATGTCTTCAAATGTAACGCCAACTTACCACAGATGTTTAGGTGTACAACTTACTAAAAAGATAAATGCCCTGCATTCTGTATTTTTAGAATAAATTTTGGACAATTTGACTATCGACAAATCATGTCGCCACCGGAATGCCTGCAGTATGCCTGGGGCCATAGGGGCATTCGTGCTCGCTTCGCGGAATAAACCACATGCCTTCGTCCACGACTAGCTTATACCACACAAGGGGGTGAGGGTGCTGATTATGGATAAAAATTTACTTTATCGATTTTACCGATTTTTGGAAAATCTTGAGCTACGAGGTTGGGAGTTGGTACAAAGGGGTAAGTGAGGGTGCTGATTAAAACCGAAATCTATTTTATTGATTTCAGCAATTTTTGAAAAATTTTGAGCTAGGAGTTGGTATAGGGGATACTAGGGGGCTGATTATGATTGGATCGGCTTTAGCCAGATATGTCGGCAAGTTTGAGATGTGATTGTTTTAGTTATTCGATAAATCATTCGAATATTTATTCGAAATTCTACTTCCGATGTTCGAATACAGAGTGTCCCAAAAAGATGTGCACACTGTTTGATCGTTGATAACTCTCTTGCTTTCATGTCTTTTGCCGATCTTGAGGCACCATTTTGTAGATCGAGGATAAACTTAGATTTACAGCATGGAGCGAGTCACTCTCTTACTGTAGGATTACAGTATGAACTTTCAGCATACAGCGTAACTGTGGAATAAGCCTTTTGATAAAATAATTTCAAAAAAATCTAAAAATTTGTGTAGCAAGGTTTTCGGACGTGCTGATTTCACTACATAACTTTTCACCAGTTTTTCGAGCTTTCTTGATGGCGTATTCACATTTCTGACGAGCATTGGAAAATCAGTTGTTATCCTGAATTTGAAATAACTCATGAAAGAAACAATGTACTGACGTACAATTTTTATATTTAGAATCATCGACTTTGACTGACCCAGTTCAAGAGTTTCTGGCTTGTTCGACTTTCTTTCTGAGGCAACATACCGCTTTCAATGGCTTGAAATCCTCCTCGAAATTCCTACCGTAATCCTACAGTAATGAAGAGCTGCTGATAAGTCGCTCCATACTGTAAATCTAAGTTAAACCTCGTTCTAAAGAATGACATCTCAAGCTCTGCAAAAGACATGAAAGTAAGAGGGTTATTAACAATCAAACAGTGTGCACATCTTTTTGGGACACCCTGTATATTCGATATTCATTCATTCGATATTTTTGATTTTCCAAATTTATTCGAAATTCATTCATTCGATATTTTTGATTTTCCGAATTTATTCGATATTCGTTTATTCGAGATTTTTTATTTCCGAATTTATTCGATATTCGTTTATTCGAAATTTTTCCTTTTCGAATTTATTCGATATTCATTCATTCGATGAAAAATTATCGAATTACCCGAGTATAATAAACAGCATGCCGATGGCATGCCGGCGTTATTCCTGCGGCTCTTCTCCGCCCCGCACCCGGAAAAACGATATCCCCTTTGCTGCGCCCTAAAAACGATATCCAGCTTGACCGTTGCCAGCTGTGCCGAGCCCTGCTTTGAGTTCATTCAGCTGCTGAGTAAAACATGGGAACCGTTAACCTGTTTCTTTTAGTTCTCACATTCTTGAAAAAAGGTCTTTTTAAATTCTGTAAAATGCTTCTTGTAGTATTTGATTAAAGTATTCTATATCTCAAATGTGAACAAAATTATAATGTTCGCTAATTATCTGTGGTAGTGTTACGAAGCAGTAATTTTGGCGCACCCTGTAGGTCGAGCTCGCCGCATACTAAACTGAGGCGTAAGTTCACTCAGGTCAGCCTCAGGAGGGATGCCCTGACGTGGGTTTCTACACTTTCCAAAGTGCATTTCAAATTTGCACAACGTGTAAGCCTAAACCAGCAGAGATTCCTATCAAGTTTTGCTCGCCTTTAAGAATTTTTGACCCTTGTGTATGTCATTTCGTACCAACATTGACTTAGACTCATCAAAGCCAAAGCTTCATACTCCGTATTCATGCTAGCATCGTTCCATACCCCTAATGAAAACATATTCCATGCTGCTATAATTCTGTGGTAATAACATTTTGCTGTGTAAGGTTGCTGCAGTCTTTTTTGGTTTTTCTCTCACATGTCACACTAAGTCCAAAATTTAGCAACTATGGAAGTATCATATGAAACATGTGCGTCTTCACTATTTATGCTTTTTCTCCTTTCGTATACAGAGCAGTTATTCTGCCAAAAAACTCTCGGTAGTTGCCACTCAGAGGAAAGGTATATCGCTTTAACAAAGATAAAATCTCGTCTGGGAAATCAGGTACGGCACATTCTTAATTTGGAAGAGTACGAAATAGCATTTTAGCTGTATCAGCTGGCTGCAGGTTATGGAATAGCGCAAAAAGCACAACGAACGTACTACTATGTACTAGGAGGTAATAGCATAACGGAGAGGAGAGTGCGAAACTACTTGAGGCGGATAGCGGAAACATTTCCAAAGACTTTAAGAATGTATAAAATTTTCAAGGTATGAATTATCTCCTTTTCTGCCACTACTCTCGCTTTCTGATATTCTGTTAAACTTATGCTCTACGGATTATAGTAGTTGGAAGTCTCGATAAACTCAAAGTATTCGAAACCACAGTTATATAGGTTGCTGCAGCATAAAACGCCGCAAAAACTATGGCTGCTGCCGGTGGTAGCGGAACAGGTCAGGAAACCTCCGCCACTTTCGAAGTGCTCTTTCTAACTCTCGCATATGAATTCTTATTAAAACCCATAAATCCTTCTATAATACTATAGTAGACCGAGTACCCAAGATGGGCTAGAGACGATCGATGAGCGATGAGCCCTATCGGAGTACATAGTATTTTCTACATTTAGAACACCATCGTTTGTTTGTGATGTTCCCCATCTTTCCCGCAATCACAGATCAAGTGAGCTCCATGCCAGCCTGAGGAAGCGAACGTGGAGCACTTTGGCAAATGCAGTTCCGGCACTCTGACAGAGCTGTGCTTGCAAGTTTTAACATGTACGCGAAAACCGCAGACGAATTCATAACTTTTGTGTTTTGACTACATCTCCCATATCTCTGCCAAAACACCCTGTACTCCACAAAGACAGGCCGAAATTTTCTTAAACAGGATTTTCGAGAGCCTTCTTGAGCGAAGTTTATTTCTAGTCAAGATCATCAGCGTTTCGACAGAAACCCAATGGCGTCCTTCGAAACATTAAAAAAAGGGGAAATCGAATAATCCCACTTCTTGGAAGCTTGTCATAGAGGTTATCACTTGCTGATCACGAAACTCATATCGGCTAGCAAAAAGAGCTCCATATTTGAGCGTAAGTCAAGTAGACTTTTGAATGACATGATTTTTCAGAATTCATCAGGCCTTCTACCTTTTTTGAAAAGGAACCTCCAGCTACTTTTCAGCGCAATGTAAGAAAACAATGCTATCGAACAGTGCTTAAAGTAATCTGTGCTTGTGTACTGCGTTACACCCTTGCGACAAGACGTCCGTAGATAAAGTCAAGAATACTGAAGACGGAAAATCGACGACATGCTGTCAAAAGATTTGCCTTGATGAGCTGAGCATAATGCTTCTTTCGGATGTGGAATTTATTCCGATTGAAGTCATGGCGCTGCGTAGTCTGCGTGATTGGAGTGATTTTATAGAATTTCGCGCTTAGAGCTGCGGAATGTAGCGACATTCTCACAAATTTCCACGCGTTGAGCGATATTGTGTCACAAGGTGTGATGTACATAAGCTTAAGATAAACACGGATGATTTTATAAATAATGCTAATGAAAAGCACATTCTAACGAATCAGCCAGCTTTTTCGAAGTAAGAGATTCAAATAATATTTATGAATAATGAATAATGAGCAAAGCTTATATAGCACTATAAATTTGTTCGTCTCGCATTTATTGGTACTGCACAAAATATCCAACATTGGGGACTGGTTTCCATTAAACAACGCTCTGCAGATGGTGTTCAAAAAAGAAGTAAAATCTGCCCTGCTAGGATTGAAAACAAAGCGTTTTCGGTATGAAACAGTCGACATCTTGTTCGAATTCTTTCGCTCCCTGTGTTCCAGTTTTGTAGATTGCTGTGTTCACTTACACAATGAAACCACCTTTTCATCCTTTTACTGTCAACTTAAAGCTCAACCATCTAATAACTATTAGATTTGTTAAGATTAATTTCCGTATTAACGGTTTGTGGAAATGTCACAGATAAATTTGTGTTTAAATGTGTGGTACCATTCGAAAGCGTAAAGGAGAATCGTATGATCAACTTTGTTTGCTCAAAAATTATTGTTTTGGTGGCGAAATGGTGCAGGAAAGCAATTGTCAAATTTTTTCGTCAAATTTTCTAAAAACCATGCTCCAAAAATTGAACTGAAATTGGGTTCAAAGTGCACGAATGGCACGCATACATACGATTGTAATATTTCCAACCATTTGCATGGCCATAAATGGTCAAACTCAAGCGATTTATATTGTCGCAAAACTGACTTTCACGCGCAGATACCAGGGAGTTCTCACATTTTTGGCTGGAGAGATACACATACAGCAAATCACAGTCTCCTTTGTGGTTCGCCATGTATTCAAAGGCTGTATGTATTCGATCACCAAATTACTCGTCTGTGCACTTACTATAACCTGAGAACGAAACCTGGAGATTTAAAAAAGCGATTTTTGAAAGGCTCGCCATATAAGGTCGTGGCTGTCTTTTATCAGGATTGAATTCTATGTAATAAATATGTGATGATAGAAGCTTGGAGGCTTCGAAGTTGCATGTTAAAACGAAATTATTTATTAGCCAACCTAATATTGATGAGGCATCATTTTCAGACAAACGAAATTAAGCAAATGAAGATAATTTTTGCTCCAGGTGAGCGCTTCAAGCGCTGCTGCTTATATGAGGATCCCGCCAGGTACGTGTGATATTGAATACGCTAAATATACAGGGTGTCCGAAAGATAAGGAGAATATTGTCGTCATTTTTTAAACATCTTTCGTTGATGTTTAGACAATGTAGGCTGACTTCAATATACTTTGCTATACCCGCTATACGAGCATATGATATGAGTTATGTTTTGAACATAATTGGTCCTATGAAAGCAACTATGCAGCATACAATGACACAATAACCAAAGCTGAACAGTAGCTGGAAGAGTATGGCAAAATATAAGCATAAAGCATAAGCTCGACCGCTTCCAGTAAACTTTGAGAATTTGTAGTAAGTTAGCTGCATGTTTTGGCCCAGCATTAATTTGAATGTGGCTCCGTGTGGCCAAACTTCCACTCTCAAGCATGATTTCTTAGCAAAGTAATGGGCTACAATGGCTTATAGCTTCGTCCAGAAAAGTGATAAGCAGATGAAGAAGACAGATTTAGAGTCAGCGCTTCATGCTGCATTTAACGGTATGCAGCTTGTCTGGATTAGCCACTTCGATATCTGACCATTTTCTTGTTAGAATCTTAGGAACCACCTCCAGCATGATGCTGAATATGATGTAAGGTTTTTTTACCAAGATTATCGCGAATGAGCGATTTGGATGAAGCGTAACCTTAAGCACAAGCCTGAATTTCTCCAAAATTTCCAGTCGTCGAAGGTCGTAGCAGCCTGCCGTGAGTACCGCCTGTCCATCGTTCTGACCTTTGTTGACCAGAAAAAGCATTTGACACACATTTTCGGTACATGGAGCCATGTACTCTGGTAACCTTCATTGAGCGATAGAAGAGAACCTTCACAAAAAAAAGAGAAGTCATCCGGGGCGAAACCCCAGATGCTAGGATAATAACTTTTCAGAATGAATGCAAATGAAGCAAGTGTAGTGAGTGATATCCCGAAATTATCGCAGCAAAACCGAAAATCTGCGTTTTTATGGAAATCTTTGTGCTAAAAAAGAGTTTTACGTAAATTTCCAAGAATTCGAGGACAACATTTCTCAACTGACCCTTCTTACACTAAGACACAAAAACTAACGAGAGCAACTGAAGTGCGATATAAATGAGAAACTGCGCGTAACTCTTGCGTAGTCGCCCATGAAAATGCTGGTTCATCCCCTCAAGGTTTTCAAGGCTTGCGACGTTGTTAGTGTCTCTAATCGTAGTGATATATAATGTTGCAGGGTTTCGTCGAGACCCTGCGACCAGAGCCAAATGCCCGCCGGCTCCGGTCTGTCTCCGCTGCTCGTCTGCGTCTCCACGCGTTGCGCGCTACCTCGCTACCCCAAACGCAGGGGGCAGGGGCATTTGATTCTGGTACCCTTTTCTTCGTTAATCTGGACTTGATTGTGGCGAACTGCATATCATATTGAAGCTCTAGACCTCTATTACTTTCATGCTGACAATGTCTCCAAACCCCATTCCTTGATTTGAGGGGAAATTCTGGCAAAAACCGTGTTTTAAAAACCACTTGTTTTTTGGTTAAGTACTTTTCAAGCGGTTTTTTCGTGCATTATTCGATAGATTTTGCTTCTCTCTATAGTGTAAACAACTTCGCGGGGTCAACTTTTTCGACTGCGTTGAAATATCTGGCAAAAAGCTCAAAAATTACGTTTGTTCATACCCCTTTATTGGAGTTAGTAAGCAATCATTTCTTGCAGGCTTGGGGGCATTTTGCTCAGGATTTTGATAACAAAGCTGGTAACGTCCCAGAATCAGAGACTACGAGAAGGGGGCAAAAGTTCAAAGGACGCACTAAAAACTAGATTTGCTTCAACGTGCATTTCGCGCAAGTAATAACAAAACTTTGCGTTTCATAACTAGTTCTTTTCTCGTTGATTCTCCTCTTGTAAACAACACTTTCAAGATATGTTTGTTTTTGAAACGATTACAAAGAAACCCCCTATTGTGAATGCCTAGTCTGGAGCGAAATCTGCAATCCTAGATGACGCTAAATAAAAGATTTCAAACTCACTGCAGCGTTTTCATCCGGTTTTTAGAGTTTTCTTTTACTTTTACTGATTGTTCTGCATCTATCTTCTTCTCTAATTTCCTACAAACAACTTTCACTTTTTATACGCTGATATTTAAACAAGGTTCACTTTTGACGCCCTATCTCTGGACTGTCGAAGGTATGATTTGACAGCGCGAAAAAAGCGCCATCCTATCCTCGCTAGTCGATCAAGGCGTGAACCCCAGCATACTTGAGAACATTAGACGATAAAAGGACCGTAAAAAGGAGATTCGACCGGCACATGTCTCGTCAAAGGCCCTGAAAGAAACCACCGATAAGCTGAGGACCCGCTTACCCAGTGTTCTTCAACGGTCCTCGCGCTCCATGACGCAGCCGAAAGTTGGGCCGACAGTGCAGCCACATCAAAAGCTCCGCGACCACCCACAAAGCACAGACTTATGAAGATTTTCTATACAAGTAACATCGTCTTGCTTTGCAGTAAGGCTGTAAGAAGAATGCCTCGTGTTTGTGACCGGCGGAATAAGCGTGAAAGCTAAGCACGGATAGACCGGTCACGTTATACGAAGGGCACACTACAAAATGGTACTAAGAACATCGGAATAGATTTTTTGCAAAGAAAACATCCACGGGGAAGACAAAAGAGATGGGCAGACGTGTTCCCGGAACGGATGGTACACTTGAGAAACCATTTAGATAGCATTTGAAACCCTTGGAAGCCGTAGACACAGCCGTCACGACCGCGGATGTCTGAAACAAGGGAAGGGACACACGAAGACTTCTGTGCTGGTGCCCTTACGTTACGTGAAGACGGGCCATCCAAAAATATAACTAGGCAAATATTTAACCTACAAGAGTATTGCCATTATCCATAGCAATCTCGGTAATTTTTAAAGATTGGTGTAATCTAAACTGCTAAGCAGAACTGCACTCATTTGCTGGAATCAGCGAATGTGGAAACCCAATCATACAAATCACTAACGCTGCATGCCATTTGAGTTTCAGCTAGTTTGCAGGGACGCCGTTGCGCCAAAATTTCCTAACTTCCATATGCGTGCGTAATAAGAGAAAGTTCTGTTTTTTACTGAAACCATAATATGCACCCAGCCCTACATCGCGATTAGTTATATGTACACAGCCAAAGCTTATCAGGCGAGAGGAGTGTAGAAGATATTAAGTACTTTCTTGGGATTTCTTGGAAGAACGTGATGTTGCCGAAAAGGAAGGCTCATGATATTGACATTGGACATTTGCAATTGATCACACAGTTCCTCAAACTGCAGATTTGTTTGCGGATGGAGCCCATTCGCAGTTTATCTGACCCTGTATACTTCAGAGGTGTGAGCTAAAAGCATGGTTGTTCAGCAAATACAGAAGGAACCTCTTCCTATTACCAACAGTTTTTTTGGAAAGCTATGCCGCAAAAAATGCTCCGTCTGAATAGATTCAAAATGATATAAAATGCAAATAACTTTTGTTAACATGAAAAACTTTGTGGCCTTTTGAAAATTTAAAAATTTCAAAAATTTTGTTGAGCGGAATGGAGTTTCCGTTAAAACACAATGGTTATAACAGGGAAACTTCCCTTGTTTATCTTATAACACATGTATAAAATTAGAAAGGAGCTCTAGTCACCAGAAATTGCTTCATAGTCACTGCTATATCGCAAAAGAACCTTCTGGGTAAAAGAAACCCATCCGAGGAAAAAGTGGAGATTGAGGGTGTCTCAACCATTACTGCAGCATCTCCGTCCAATGTGTAAGGCCCGTATGCACGTACGTACTCGCTGGGGAGGGGAGGGGAGCTGGATCCCCAGGGGAACGATCCCCTCCGCCGAACCCCGCCATGACAGAGGGGAGGGGAGTGATCCCTGCACCAAAGCGGGGATAGTGTGAATGGTTTTAGGGGTATTGATCGAGCAAACCCCAGTGCAGGAGAGGTTCGAATGGGGGAGGGGTTCCCTTTCCCTCCTCCACTCGCACCCCGTATGCGCGAATTTAACTCAATAACGCGGGGGAGGGGATCGACATCCCCTACAACGGGGTAGGGGTTCGATGGTGTAGGTCAGGCCAGAGAAGCGAGTATTCTAGTTTCAATCAATTATTACAAAGCATTTCGTTCAAATTGATGAAAGATTTTCTATGGGAGCCGAGTTCCTCTCTCAGCGACCTGTAGCTTGCAGTTTTAACTCTCTCTTCCATATTCGCATCTTGTAAAGAAATCCGGACATATATTTGCTAGTTTCGAATATCTGTAGAAGGTTGTGACCATTCACGAGAGTTGCGCATTTTTTATTTGACATGATAGTTTTATCCATTAAGGCTGGTACAACATATTGTAACTATCACATTATATGATAAATTGTTTTAATCTTGTTATCCTAACGTAAAATGTTTTGAATAAAATTTCTGAGTAAAGATCCTCGGGGGAATGATCCCCTCCCCATCGCTCCCCTCGTGCATAGCAGGGATGACCGCTGGGGATCATTCCCCTGGGGTAAAAGACGATATGCAGCTGATAACTACAGCGTTTATGGAGAGCTGGCACAATTTGCAGCTTCAATTATGTGTAGAAATGCTGGTTTAAATGTCCGCGGCACCCCCCTCTCCCTTTTTTTTCAGCAGCATAACGTCTTCTACCCATTCACTGCATATAGATACATCTTGACTTCTATCATTGAACAACTTTAAGCTGAAATGGGCAGCATGGGCGAAAATGAGCAGCATCCATGAAAACAGCTGGAATATAATGGATGTGTAGGAAATATTTATTTAGTGTGCCGATCGCAATCACGGCAGACGGCATTCCGCAACGACTAAATATCGCCGAGACACATTGAAGGCAAGTAGCTATCAAAAGATAAGAAAAGGAGTATTAACTGCAAAAAAGCGGAAGCAAAATGATCTCCTCTTCTGCATAAGGGGGCTCCCCTCCCCTACTCCCAGGGGATCCCCTCTCCGGTATTGCCGTTCTGCATACGGGGATTCGCGTGGGGAAGGGAGGGGAGTCCCAGCGGGGATCATTGCAATGGTTAAACTCACATCCCCTCCCCACGGGGATATACGTGCATACGGGCCTAAGTCTCATATCATGCAGTGTATAGTAATCATTGCTCCTCTGTCATCAAATCCAGATAAGAGATTTTGTAGAAACACTAAGGCTTTTTTAGCGAAGTAACCTCATAACCTTGATTCTGATCTGATACTATATTTCATTCTTATCTTTAGCAGAGCGCATTTGAGGGTCAGTCATTATTTTATACTGTTCACTCTATGCTCCTTGAAGCAAAAAGACTTTCACGCTATGTGCCCACATATACACTAAATATTTCAGATTCATAGACCATCCAGCAAAGTATATCCAACTGAGTCAGGGAGGCGCACAAAATGCACTTTATCTGGAAGATTATCTGCCAGAAATTAGACAATTCTTCCAGTTCTCTGAAATTGCAAGGAAAAGAGGAGAAGCTGATCTAGGTGCTCTGCAAATGTGAGCAACAAAGGAGAACTTTTTACTAATGTGTCAGCATCACTATTTATCTCAAAATTTGTCATATAAAGCACAACATTAATTTAGAGCTAGGACACGTGGCATACGGCAGGTTGGCTTTAAGCACAAAGAAGGGTTTTTAGCGGAGACATCAAAGAACTGCTAGAGAATAATAAAGAAAAGTCCTTGCCACATAGCACAAGTTATACATGGCAACCTTCCAACTGGCGATTAGACCTGTGCTTGGCTCGACTCATCGCTATTTAAACTGCTTCTTATTCATACGTGTCTTAGGCCTTCATCCTCACGCTTGCGAGTGATTGTATGATGTTTTTCATATTATAGACAACCATTGCCTTTGCAAATCCTCGTTTTCCCCAGACGCTAGCATATCAGGCAATATTTGATTTGTGACACTGTAATCACATTCTCTATCTAACGGTAGGGCCAAAAAAGTTGAAAGGGCGGAATGGGAAGTCTACACACATGTAATAGGACGAATTACACCCATTGTTCGATAATTTTGATGTTTTCTCCTACTCCAGTAATAAACCATATCATATGGGGTAGGGCAGAAGTAGTAACTGCATATTGATTGCATGTGAGAATAGCGATTGCGTTCCTAGTCTTGAAATGGATGTCCATTTCTAAGCTCACACAAAAATCATACATTTTCTACGCGAATACTCATCATGCGATGTCATGATCATCTTAAATGTTCCATATAATTGAAACAAGAAATTCAAAAGAATCTGAATGTTTAGCAGGAGGAATGAAGAATAATAGGCGCAGCCTCATTTCGCGGGTATCTGCGACCGATAGTAGGTGATACAGCTAGGGTCGAATAAGGGGTGTGGCACACAACCGCTGGATACAATCCCTCCTCCTCCTCCTCCTCCCAGCCCCAGCATTATCGTTTGCCTATATAGGCATGATCTAATGGGTCTATCAAGCATATAGTTATATATTTGAAATTACCATGTTAGATAACCTCTACGGGCCAAGATTTCTAGCGAGTTTTAAGGGTACCACATATTGAGACTCCCAAATGAAGTGGTCATTTTCAAACATGGTTAACTATATCTCAAAAGTGATTTAGCTATCTCTTATTGTACTCCGTACAAATCACCACCCCCTAATCACCACTCTTTCCATATCATCCAACTTCGAATAACCATCAAACTATGAAATGAGGAGCCAGTCAAAATCTCTTTTGTTCCATTTTTAGCTTACAGTGGATGTGCTTCCAGCAATTGCTCAAGACAAATCCAGGTCTAATTCTTTTACAATAGTACGAGATTTTGGCTGTGGAACCCTATATATTTCGTTCGCTAGAATTACTAATGGGGTGTGGTACACCCCATTAACTTACCTCTAGGGAGAATGCGAAGAGAATATTTCTTAAGCAAGGGACAAGGACAAGTGAGACTTCTGTGCCGAGGCCCGCCACGACACGTGAGGAAGAGCCATTCAAATTCGAGCATGAGTAACCACAGATCTCCACACTCTGTCTAGGATAGCCTGGATAGATATGCCGCAAATTGGCTAAAAAGTGTGATTCTTTTTGGAGTTTACTAATTATTATTCTACTATGCATGCGGGAGATGTATTCACTAATTTCTTACGAACACATAATGAGGAGACTAGATGTTCTTATATGTACTACAACATTTATGAGTACAATAAACACTGACACATATGGTATGATCTGGAGGCCTTTGCATAGGACTCAAATGGATTTTCCACTAGACAGCTGCTTCTCCGGCAAAAAGAGCTCACATTAGAAAATTTTCGTCCTTAGTCTTGGAGCAGTGGAAAAAAAACATAAGCAACGTTTCGCCGACAATTTTAGCGCTAGGAAAAGCAGGCATGAACGATCGAAGATCCTCCCGTTTGCCTTTCTTAAAGAGAATGACGGTTTTTGAAATTCTCTAGTGGTCGGGAGTCCTTTCCTTCTAAAGGTAAGATGTTAGATGCAACTGTTAACTGCTTATGTTGGGGAGTAGTTGATGACGCCGATGCTGGGGACATCTTGTACGAATTCACAGGATGGACCATGGATGAGTGGACACAAAGCCAACGCCTCTAAGTTTCGTGGTAGAACTTTTACATCAGGAATGATGAGGCTCTCATCATTCATTTGTCGCATTCAATCATTTGGAAAGGACGCCATGTCGTACTAACCAACATACAAACACGGATAGCAAAATAAAGGAAGATTTGCGAATAATATCCTGGATGTTGTTGACATCGAATGTGAGCGCTTGCGCTTTAAATGGAGTAACGATGGTATACGAGTTCATCTGTTTGAAATAAGGAGTTTTGCAGAGAAAGAGCCGAGATTATTACTTTGGATAGACCTTTGAATGTTTTGAATCCAAGACAAAGGTCCAACCAAATCCTTCAGGAATTGCAAACGAATCTTCTTACAAATGTTCCCAAGTCTGGTAACTTGCTAAGACTTCGGGGGAACTCTCGTGGTGACACTCTGGAAGTTTAGTTCAAAGCATTCGGGAGTTTCATAAATTGTCTGAGAAACACTCATGTCAAGCTCTGCATTAGTACAGCGCTTCGCCCATCTCTCACAACTTTCATATAACAATGATTACTTCTTTTTTCCATCAGGGGCCGTATTTATCAATCTTCCACACGCTGTTCGGGCCATTATCAACGGGTGCCCGGACAGGCGAGGGCGTTGACCCATGATCTATGAATGTTTGGGGCGCGTAGTCCAAACAGCCAGCAGAGCCCGTTCTGTAGAGATCGGGCACGATCGGGCACCTGCTGTGCCCGACGTGGCCTAAGTTGCCAGGTCGGACCATATTTTTAAACAGGCAGGAGCCCAGTACGAACTTAGCTTCGTATATCGCGGGCCCCAGTGCCCACCCCTATAGGGCTTTGAATTGTACAACCTCTTCCCATATAGGAGATTGATAAATACCGCCCCAGAAAGCACCTTGCCCCTTATATCTTACTGAGGTTGCGCTTGAGTAAATCGGTTACGTTTTCAGAGGCAATGTGAGTGACTTTATGTGTGTGCACATACGTAGAACTGACTTTCTTTACTTTGGAATCGCCTCTGAAATGAACGGTACGGTGGCAGCTACTGAACAAGTCACGAAGGCCCAGGTAACTACTTTTCTTTTATTGTCTTATCTGTTCACTTTGTTGTCACTTTAACCAACTTTTCTTCTATAGGACTTATCCAAAAAAATTATACAAAAACGTTTTTGTTTTCTTGTTACCATCGTTACCCTAAAGCTCTAGCGAATAGTACCAGGCTCAACACATATCGGTAGCTCCCATACTTAGTGCATATCTTTGTTTTTCTGCCCACATAAAAATTCAAGAAGTGTACCCACTATAGCGTGGTTTAAGTTTTGCAGATGTTTGGTTGTGATCCTTAGCAGCAGCTGAAAAAAAAGTGTCAAAGTATTAAGATATTAAGTATTAAGATAGTGGGTGTTCTTTCGCGGTTTGGATTTTCTCAGACTCAAAGGCAGCGTTGTTCTTGCTACTTTGAGCACTCGTTTTGTCTTGAGATGCATAGTAAATTTTACTTAGGCAGTAGCCTACTGTCGCAACCAGCCGCCAGAGCAGGCGTCGGAGCGCTGTAAATGGCACAGTGTTTCTTTTTCTTTTGATTTTTGCTTTTCAATTTTTTTATCAAGGATTACTTTTCGCTGCCATACCCTACATTTTCTTACCATTCTCGTACGTTTTTCTTCAATGCTGACAGGGAACGATCCCAACTCAAGGTGGACAACTGGAATGAACCGTATATCAGATCGTATATTAGATGCGTCTTGATGTAAATCCAAATTCACCTTCTATATCTGCGATGCCGTTCTCTGGAAAATGTTATCAGCGCTCCAAAGTCCAAATTTAACAAACATCAAGCGCCACATAATCAAGAACTAGTTGTTAAAAACACTGGTTGTCTCCGATAAATATGAGCATCCCTCGAAAACAGTACGCTCAATATCTTGCTAGTCATGCACTTCCAAGTTGGATTTCAAAGCGTATTATGCGTTAGGAATCCAGTACTTCACACATTTAACCGCTTTCAGATGTGTGAATGTTTTGGAGTTCTGATGCATGATGTGCTTTAAAATCAACTTGGAAGTGCATGACTAGCAAAGTATTAAGTATTAAGTGTACTGATTTCAAAGCATGCACGCATCTACCGTATCAAATAAGTGCTTTTGAACAGCTAGGCCTTGAGATATGGCGCTGAATGTTTGCCAAATTCGGACATTTGAATGCTGATAACTTTTTACGGAGAACAGCATCGCAGATGTGGAAGGTAGATTTGGACTCAACTCATCAAGGCGCATCCAATGATATGCGGTTTGATACAATTCGCCACCTTAAGTCGGGATCGTTCTTTGTTGAGTCCAGAATGAAAATATTTTCAGAAACCAGTTCTCTGGATTTTTCTGCCTTGTTATCAATTTGAGAGATAAACATTCCCGTGCGCGAAATTTTGCTCAGTGTAGTGGTGAGTTAGGCACGGTCTCAAAAACCATTTTTTGTTGTCTGGAACGTCAAAGTTTGAAGACATTGTTCTATTGCTGAAACAATTTTGCACCTCGGCGCGACGAGTGCGATCGATGAAATTTCGGCAGAATGTCCTATACGAGGGTGCAATAACTGTACCATGAACAGCAACTATGATCAGGGCTGAGCAAGAGGTCAGGCAAAAGTCGTTCAAAAACGACTCCCCCTCCTTTTGTGAAGTTCCTGAGCAACCCCTCCGCTTCACCTCCAGGACCTCATGTTGTGATGTGTTGAAGGAGATCAGCTTTACTGGAGGGCTGTTGTTTTTTGGAAGTCCGTAGACCCGTTTCTGCGATTGCATGCCCACGCAACTTCACGATAAGTTTTAAATTGGGTTAGCCTCTTTTCAAAGCTACAGTTTCCAAAGGGTGGAGTGTTTGGCTCCAAATTTTCAATATAGCAAGAAGAGGCTTCAAGATCAATAATCGTACTAAAAGACTAGCAATTTTTAAATAGTGCAGGGGAGTCAAGGTGGTTAGGCGCAAGGCTACAAAAGCTCAAGTAACTTGAACTTTTAAAGAGTTGCGTGGCCCCATTAACTTCATTTCCGAAGAAGCTTGTCTACCCAATTTTATGCGATTCGTTAGCACAATTCTCGTATACTCCATGGTAAGGGTTGGGTTTGGTTCGACTACTTTCGGCTTTGTGGTACTCCGGAAGTTGATGCACTTAAGGGGATAAACACGCCTGTTGGAATTTCAGCACCACTTCTTATTCCACTACTTGAAAGCGATATGAAGCCTGATTTTCAGCATAGACTTGTAAAGAACATTACTTTGTTATAAATGTAAACAAGCTGACTTTTTTCACTTTTAAAACCAAGTTAGTCGTATTCAAAAATCAGGCTTTTTAAACGTTGGGAGACACTAGAAACCACAGTAGGTAATGGTTTGTGAGCTCATAGAGACAATTTGACATGCTGATTGCGTAAAGAATACCCATTTCACACGACAATCTTCCTTGATGCACTTTGTGATATGTCAATGTAAAAGATGAAGATTTAAATTCTGGCTAAAACTTCAATTGTGGATTCAATTAGTATGCTGTTTACTACAGTCATTCCCTCAGTACTGGTGAGGCTGCGATATCACCGGACTTTCTTCTTCACCTTAATCGTAGTGTCTCTCCAATTGAAAGAGTTCGTTTATTAATCACGACTCCTCCCCCCCCCCCTCCCTTCCCCTCAGTCTTACTCCAATAAGACTCCTCAGGTCGGGACGCTTGACACCACGCTCAACCCTGACATGACGTCAGCTCTAGTGGCTGCCTGTATTACGCTTTCCGTTAATGTGCACGAAACTACTAGTCACAAGCACTTTAGAGCTTTTAAATCAAAATCAACGTTTTAGCATGCGAAAAGCTACAGCATTTGTATTATTATTATTATTATTATTATTATTATTATTATTATTATTATTATTATTATTATTATTATTATTATTATTATTATTATTATTATTATTATTATTATTATTATTATTATTATTATTATTATTATTAGGTTGTCCGGAAATTAATGCCCGTTTAGAATTTCAACTGCAATAAGTCCTACACTTCTCATTTCTGGATAGGTTGCAAAGTACCATCCGATAGAGCAAAGCAAGCTCTACAAGATGGCTGTCTTGCTTTTGCAACAGCTCTTATCCATCTCGAGTTTCGAACCAAAAACTAAAAATACTCAGCAGCCCGAAAAATCGAAAAAATCGTAACTCAGTTTATAAAAATTCTACAAAAATTCTTACTTGCTCACGTAAACACTATCCACATAAAACATCTATATATGCCTTTGCCGTATTTTTTCCTTCGTAAGAAACCAAGAAAACGGAAATTTTTGTGCATTTGCCAAAGTGATGCTATGCCGTCTCCACACAAGTAGTTGTATACCACAAGCCTGTAGAAGTATGAACGTAAATTCTCAGCTCTCTACAAGCTTTAGTTCTCAAGAAATTTGAATTTTAGCTTGGACCACCTAACTAGGAAAAGCTATATTCGGTATTTTTCGAGAACTAAAGCTTGTAGAGAGCTGAGAATTTAAGTCTGTACATCTACAGGCTTGTGGTATGCAACTACCTGTGTGGGGACAGCACAGCGTCACTTTGGCAAATGCACAAAAATTTCCGTTTTCTGGGTTTCTAACGAAGGAAAAAATACGGCAAAGGCGTATATAGATGTTTTATGTGGATACTGTTTACGTGAGCAAGTAAGAATTTTTGTAGAATTTTTATAAAGGGAGTTACGATTTTTTTCGATTTTTCGGGCTGCTGAGTATTTTTAGTTTTTGGCTCGAAACTCGAGGTGGATGAGAGCTGTTGCAAAAGCAAGATGGCCATCTTGTAGAGCTTGCTTTGCTCTATCGGATGGTACTTTGCAACCTATTTAGAAGTGGGAAGTGTATGACTTATTGCGCTTGAATGTTAGAACGGGCATTAATTTCCGGACAACCTAATATTATTATTATTATTATTATTATTATTATTATTATTATTATTATTATTATTATTATTATTATTATTATTACTATTATTACTATTATTACTATTATTATTATTATTATTATTATTATTATTATTATTATTATTATTGTATTATATGTATTTGTATCTCATTTTACGAACCAGCAGCAACGCGTAAAATACATTCTTAACTTTTTTCTTGCATGGATAAATTTATCTCGCCGTTTTGACATTTGTTTATACAACAAGAAGAAGACTAAATTCGCTATTGGTATGAATCCCATGCCACATAGTTGGATGTCAAAAACATATTGACGCATTTAGTCTTTGATTCAATGGGATTGGCGCCTGGGAGGCAACCGCTCGCGCCCGTGACGCAGTCTGCGAGTCTTTCGCGGGCTAGATTTCCGGTCATTCCCTTTCAGGTGCACTTGACCCCAACGGCCGATGAGGGGCTTTGATGCGCTTTGAAAGTCCGACTCCTTGTATAAAATCTCTTCCCTTGCCATCTTGACAGTTGCATTTGAGTGAGCACGAGGTATCCAATCCCAGAATTCCTCCTGTAGAACAGAAATTTTTACTCGAAATCTTGCTCCTCACGCAATGTGCGTAGCAGATGTGGCAGATCTTAACAACAAATCTGCTCGTTTTTCAGCACGTTGACGACGAGCATTTTTTTCATGTCTGTCAAGTGGACGAGATGTTTCCTTGCACTTCTGCTCCTGCCTGCACGTATGTATGCATGCACCTATGCTGAATTATGAATAGACAAGTGGACGAAGCAGCTCCGTCCCCTTGAGTTAAGCTCCGCCCAATGGGCAAGAAATGCTGAAAAATGTTGAATTTTCATGAATTCATGCACACTTTCACTTTCAAAAAGTGGGCGGAGCTCGCTAGAGAGAAGGCGGGGGCTGCTGAAGGGGGCGGGACGGAGATTAAGGTTACCTCTTGAAGTTCCTCAGTCATCTATGACGTCTTCTATGCGCTTTGAGCACGAAATTTTTTTCACGCAGATGGCAACGGAGTGACCGGTGCTTGCCAAAAGAAGGCGGATCCAACATGTGTGCTTCTGACCTAAACTGATTATATTAACTGATTATATGTACACAAATTAGAACGGTTGGGCATATTTTGATATTAGGGGCCGCGCACCATTACACGGCGTCCACAGGGACACACTGGTTGCCGCGCCCCATTGCGCCGCAAGTTCGTCAACTTGTTAGAATACAATCAAAGTGAATGGTCTTGTCCATTCTGTCAATTTGTATATTTTATCTTCATGGAATTTTTTCCGAAGTAGAGTATAATTGTCTCACTTTCCATTGTATTTCCATCCAAACGTAGAAAATATAGTGCAGAAAAATTACTGTTTTTTTTTAAATAAGCTCGAAACGTTGGCGGCTTCTTAAGTGTTTTTTTAGTAAAACAAACACCGGTGCATAGATAAGATCATATTTTAGCTTGTTGCAGAAGCTGTACTCAAAACTCTCCAATTTCTTTTGGCAGCAGATCCCTATTTTGCAGCGTATCACGTCACAACTTAGTAGATTAGTGAGAAGATTTTGTCCTAAATAAGAATCAGAGAGATCCATAAGTGTTCAGTGGGCAGTAGTGTTTACAAAATACTCTGCAAACAGCGTTCAAGAGAAGGTGTGGGTCCTTCTCTGAAAGAGAAGGAGGAAAAGAGCTGCAGCGGCGCAGAGGTGCGGAATACGACAGGAAAATTAGGACAGTTGACCATTGATTGCTTTTTATGATTGGATTCTGCTACAATTTAGATGTAGCAAAATTTGGACCGATATGATGAAGCGAAAGAAGATCAAATTACCCTCTTTCTCATATTTTTGCAATTCATCTCTGATGAAAATCGCGTTTTCACCAAGGACATTGAGTCGTTAATTCATAACAAACAGAAGATTGAAAAGTTGTCGGCCACTACACGTTGTTTTGTTTTTAATTGACCTCAAAATCATCATTTCTGAAAATTTTGCGGTCCAAAGAACATGACCAAATTTTGTTGCGCTTCATCCATGACCCCTAGTAGCACGAGCTGTGGAGGGGACGATACATTCTCAGCACCACTTTCTTTGATGCTCATAAGCACTGTGATGTACAAAGCTGGCGCGCGTCGGAAGTACCTGTGGGAATTTGTTCGGAAGACACTTTATATCCGTTTACAGAACAAATATGGAAGGTGAGTGTACAGGTATTTCTACCTATCCCCATTTCAACTACTTGAGTACCATCAGGACCAACGTGAGTTACATCTAAGTGACCGTAGACCAGTTGTAAATGATGGAAATAAGTCCGAGGAAAGATCAGAAGCTTGTCTCAAACCCATTGCTTCACGTCTGCTTTGCACAAGCTCGTGCTGGCTGCCAGGAAAGTGTCAAAGTGAACTAAAGCTTTGATATCATGTTCCTCACATGATTCCAAAGTTGCCTGAAGCGATCAAGCCCAGTTGAAATGAACCACTCTCGCTCTAACATGCTTGAAGTATTGTAAATCATTCCTCACTGTAACTTCGTAACGGGCAAATCATGATAATAAGTTCCTCTCCGCTAATGGATGCATCCGCTTATCATCAAACCAGTGTGTCACCTCTGCTTCGCAGAGGCTCGCACTGGCTCTACTATCTAGGCCCTACTCATTCTCGCATAATGATGGCATTGGAACTCACCGAGCAATGCCGATTATCACGAACAAAATGTAAACAACTACTCATTCCAAAAGCTTTTTATGTGAAATCGGTGATTTCGCATGGATGAGAATTTTTGCATTTTTGCATTACAGGTTTTTGATTTTCCCATGGTCTTGACAGTTGCAATAAGTACAGCAGTCACCGTGAGCTAGATCTTTGTGCAAAAATCTCGTCAAATGCTATGGTAAAACCTTGGCAAATTGACCATTTATGCAACCAATACTTTTTGGCGCCGTTTTTCTAAAGTAATGGACTTTTGATCACCTTTTTGGGTCTAAGTTCATGGTTTGCGCTTTTACTTGGCATAAACATCCACTACTTTGCAAAACGTGGGATTACGGACCCATTTATGCGGCCCAAATGCAAAATGGATCCGTTTGACGCGCAGTTTCTGAGTGATCCACTCAACGAATCTGCTCGTGCTTTTGCTTGTTGGACTTTCATGCGAGGAGCATGCGCTGTGCAAAATTTGAGCCCAGGAGGTTGGCTGGAACACGCTCTACGAATTTCGTAACAGACACACTCACACACACACACACACACACACACACACACACACACACACACACACACACACACACACACACACACACACACACACACACACACACACACACACACACACACACACACACACACACACACACACACACACACACACACACATACACACACACATACACACACACACACACACACACACACAAAGTCACGTAAACATCCTTAGCCCGTTATTATAAGTTATGATGGGAGAACACCATAAAATATTAGTGCATTGATTTTCTCGTTGTGCCTTCATTCTCACCTCTTTTTGCGCAATTCCATAATAACTTTTGATTGACCCCAACGGCAAAAACTTTCTAATCAGCTCAGTTGATGCATCGAGTCAATGTTTTGGGATCTTACAATCGGATGCACGATTTTCCTGAAAAAATCATTTGAAGGGGCTTCATCACATCATTCTCTTCGGCGACGATCAGGATTTCATGGACAGCCTCGCCAGGATATTGATGGCAAACAATTCAAGCAGGGTGAGCGTAATGATCAGATGTCTCTAGCACACTATACAATTCAGACGGTTCATATATCCACTTATACGGAGATGTCGGATTTCTATATCTCTTCTCGACTTTGCAAATCATTTCTGCTTTCTGCACCGACCTCCACAATGGGTTGGTGGTTGGCCTTCTTTACGAAAAATCAAAACAGTGTGTACTATTACAAAGATCGGCGGAACGTTGAGGACTACAAGATGTTGACTGATGAATTCTATTTGTAAGGTTCTTTGATAGACTACATGTAGGTCTCCGAAAGCTTTACCACATTTTCAGAAAAGCATGGCATCGACTAAATGGTTGATGTTTTTAGTTTGTGCACCGCATCTGCAACTAAGCCTAGTGAAAACTACTGCTCGGCGGCAGCGTTCCGGTTGAATCTTGGCTTCTGTTTTTTGCTTTTCCTCAGCTTTCTCATCGCATTATTGAAATATCAAAAATGTTATTTCACAAAAGCGTCAAGAATCATGAGCCCTTCGATCTCAGATAAGAAAGGCTGTACAACAACGACCATTTCAATGTATTATTATCACAGGCGTGCATTTGGATAATTTCCAGCTCTACAAGACGCCTAATGCAGGACGTGTAGTATTCGCAGCTCTCCTGTTACCCTTTTGTTTTGGTGGCTTGAGCGCCTCAGTACAGTCGCTTCATTTCATATGATCATGTGTGTCATTGCACACACAGTCCACTTTGACGTCCTCATCCTGGATTTGCAATCGCAAAAACGCAAGAGACTTATTGATTGTCATCGATTACATCAATTTGAGGTGACTAGTAACTAGAAAGGAAAGAAAATGCTAAGAACACCTTCGAAACACCTACCTGAAGGCTTGTTTCTCCCACGATTCAGGATGGGGACGCCAAAGATGAACTGTGCGTGCAATGGCACACATGGTCATATGAAACGAAGCGACTGTAGCTAGTAAACTCCGCTAAATATCTGTTATCTTTCCAATCATAATTTTTCGCCTTTGGACTTACTATAGATTGCCAAATCATCATCACTACATCATTACTGTACTACTTGTTTCTTAATAAGTCGTCTAGACTGGGCATGGGATAACATGATGATTTTTTTGTTACCGTTATATTTCATGTATGACTAACACTTCACTGTTTTTGATTTGGAACGCCTCGAGCGTACGAATGAAATGAAATGAAATGAAAGATGAAATCTTGTTTCCAAAACTCACATTTTACTACCAAGAAATACAGCTCAAGTTCAGTACTAGTAAAACGAGCTATTTTCAATAATAAGCTTTAGGCGATGAACCGCTACATTATCTTTTTGCTAAGACGTGAAAAGTTTGAGTTCTGCAATTCTGTTAGTGTTCTGGCACTAACAAAAGTTAGCGAAGTGCAACAAAGTAATTAATTTGCTCTACTAGCTTTTTTTATGTTTGTATGAATTGATGAGCTGCGACATATCACAATATAGTGTAGGACGTAAAGTCATGTGATAAGAAAAAGACTACAAAAAATGAGGGACGAAGGAGCAAAAGCGAAGGAAAAATATACAGAGCTTGGAGGACAACGAGATTACGGACCATGGTCAAGGATTATATGGTCCAATTGAGCTGTTATTTTTGGTACAAAAAGCAGAAAAGATATCGTAAGCATGTTGAAAATGAGATATCTAACCTTACAGACACGTTCCTTGCTTCGCCATCAAGTTACCGCAACACAGACATGCATTAATGTGTTTACTCAAAGGGATTGGAATAAAATAGTAATGCTGAAATAAACAAAGCGATTGTTTACAGCGGACAGTCAGTCTTTTCACCCCTAAGTTCTACATGTGTATGATCAATGACAAAGGTTAAAACCCTCGCCAAATCCTAGCAGTTGACAAGGGGTTCGTTTTTGAAAACATTAAAAACCACCCTGTTTCACGCAGCCGTGTTGCAAGTTACAATTCTGAAGCTACATAGATGTATAAATGTATGCATAAGAAGGGTCGTTGCTACACGACTTTCATTACCTCCACATCTGAAACGAATAGTTAAATAGATAAATATCTACCTTTTTCCAAACTTTTTATAGTTTAATGGCAACTAGGTAGATCCTCTTTTAGGCAGAACAATTCAGAAAACTTTGACGTGTTTCATCTCCGCATCTAGCCGCTTAAAAAAGCTATTCTCAACTGTTTTCCCTATCTGCGAAAAGCCTTCTCGAAAGAAGGTTTCGTTCAAACATGTGGGTGATTAAACTGTGCATAATGGTTAAGTGGCATTTTGAGTATTTTTGTCTATCATGTAAAGATTGAGAGTTTTTTGAATCTCACCAACAACCGTCTTTGTTTCTGATTTGGCAAGATACAACAACTCAAATGGTGATTTCAGTTTCACTTGTACAAGCCACACCCTGATCTCTAGAGGCGAATACTCCAAACAAATCTGCACTTGGGGGCGTTGACCGCGGAGTCGGTCGGGAAGAGCTATACTACGTATGCTCCCGTTTATAGCGGGCTGGTGCGGATTGTACACTTGAAAATAGGGTAATAGTTTTCTATTTTCAAATGTACAAATTGTGCCCTTATCACTACGAAGAAGGAGAAGGACACGACAAGGATTTCCGTAAGACTAGAGCACCTCAACTAGGAGAAATATGCGAGAGAGCGACTGCTTTACCAAGCACATCCGCAGCAATGAGCCAGGTTTACTCTCGTTTAGAGCACCGGGTTTCGGTTTGACATTTTAAAATAGGGAACTTTCTAGTAAGCCATTTCTACCTTACCCGACGATGGGCACCACAAATTTACTACCAGAGTCGATTTTTCAAACCGAAACACTGCACCTGCACTTGGAGGCGTTGACCGCGGAGTCGGTCGGGAAGAGCTATACTACGTATGCTCCCGTTTATTTCCGCCTTCTGTTCTTCCTTGTCGACTATGAGCTACGGCATGAGAATCGTGTTTTAACAGTTCTAACGGAAAATGCGCTTGCAACCTAAGATCTCTTGCCTTCATGATGTGTTTGAGAAGTCATTTCGAAAAAATCATTAACGATTTCTTCTTTCATATATCTTTCCTACACCTCATTTGTATGGAGTTCACTCACTCGAAAGGTTCATCTCCATGCTGCCGATTCTTGGGAAGTGAAGTAAGAATGGCATCGAAACTAGCAAATTCAAAGGAAGCATTTGCAGGCCTTGTTCGCAGGTTTTATGAGTGGCCAATCAAATAGACTTGCCACCATAACAAAATTATCCTACAAAGCATAATTCAATCTTATGAATCATCATGTTAAAGAAAATGAGACATGGAAACTATTACCAGCCTAAGGCCTCGGTCAGACTTCACGCGATCTGATCGTCGCGACTAAATCGCCAACATTTCCATTCATTTTCATTTCACATTCAAAAATTTCGGGCTGGAAAAGTATCACAACCGAAATGTAAGTTGATCGGCATGGAATGATGTTGTAACAGTTGTCTCGTCGCGATTTAGTCGCGACGATCAAATCGCGTGAAGTCTGCCCGGGGGCCTAAAGGAAAATGCTTATATGAATGCGAAACATTGCCATATCCGTGGTTGACCCTTGTGGCGCTTGATAAAATCGTTACGCCATGAATAACTCAAAAGTTACATAAACGAGCTGTGCTAAATCTAGGGTTTTGTCCATATGCGTTCTAAATCTGTCTCTGCATCTATGATTACACTGACGTGACAAACAGATCGCGTGAAACAAAGATATTTGATTGCAGTGTTATATTTACAGTTGCTGTGCAAACAGGAAGAGTGCTATACCGCTCATGGAAACAAGTGGGCTTAGACGAGAATTTGAAGCGTTGCACCAAGTGTGGGACTTAATACGGAACGATCGATATAAGCTATTCGTTCGAGATCGGTAACTGATTTGTAAATTTCTGAAAAATCTTCAAATCGAGTGGAAGCGACGCATATGGAAATCTGCACGCGGTAGGTTGGAAGTCTGTTAACCAAGGAGGTTGGATCTCACAATACGTCTGAAACAAGTGGGCTTAGACGTGAATTTGAACTGTGTATACAGGACGCACATGAGAAATAAAAGTTTTTATTCGCTTCCAAGAATTTTCCACGATGACTTCCTCAACTCTCGTCATTTCCCTTTTAGCAAATCAGGTGACATGGAATTAAAGGGAAGGCTTTTTGCTTGCACGTAAATCAAAAGGGGAATCCGTGAGGTTAAGACTGAGCGATTTGGAAAGCAAAACATATTTGTTCGAATGGGTGGTCGAGTGGGAGGTCGCATGAAGAGTGCAGCAAGCTACGGAAAATCATTTTTGTTCCATTTCATGCCATTTTCTGGCAATCATCTTCTTTACGCTCTTTTATTCCATTGCTTGAGTTCTTGACTTTTATTCTTATATATATTTGGGCTAGCTCTGAGGTTTATTCTAGCCTTCAAAAGAGGATATTGTAAAAATAATCCATCGGACAAACAGATAATTTTTGGCCTTTCAACTTGCTCACTTTCCTTCTTATCTATCCAGGCAAAAGACTGCTCTTGTAAACCCTTTTATTAATCTGTTATTACAAACGAACTGGGAGTACAACACACGCCCACGGTTTGTGACAAACAAGCGAACTCAGGCGGAAATGCTGAAATTTTTATAGTATCGTATCTCGCTTTAAAGTGAACGAATTTTGAACATATTATCATATAACTATTCAACTCATCTCGAAGCTTTTTTGATGTGTAGCCTTTCAAATAAGTACTGAGGATGTGCGGTACGGTACCTCTCATAACTCGTCAAAAAATCACCGAACTCCAAAACGTCGCATATTCAATGTGGACGAATTCTGAATTCAGGGCACCGTTTCATTCACCTCGGCGAGGCGCATCTTCATACGTAGAAGTGCTCATTCAAGTACTTTAAGCGGCTAAAAATCAAGCACCTTTTTAGAATAAACACGTGAGTAACTTACCATAAGCGAAAGCCAAGAATTGTGAAAACTGATGATCTAAAGTGCACCTAACGTATCTGAGCGACTTCTGGAAATCAGAAAACGCTCCTCGTCGAGCTAACTCGGACATCGTGCCTGTTCGTACCGCGAAGCGGCACGATGTAGATTTGAAGTACACGAATGTCTCGAATATCTTTATTGCTCACACAAGGTAAAAGAGAGATTACAAGAACCAGAGGACATAAGTTGCCTGAGAAGATTACCTTCGGGCTCCTCGTCGGGATAGGCCTTATCGTCCCCTTTGAACTCCCGGCTCCCCTTAAGAGCCCTGCGGCTCTCTCAAAACGTAATTCTCAGATAAGCCGTAATGTTTATAAACTATGGTGAGGCACGCAGTACCGTGTTCTTATTCATTGGAATCATGATCGCGAGAGTCATGACACTCCACGCGAGAAAAGAGAAAATTTTTTTATGTGTGTAAATGGATACATTGAAAAAAAATACATAGTAACCTATACACTATCAACAATATCATATTATGTTAATGAAGTTTATCTCCTGTCGCGTCGGCGTGGCTGTGGCTAGTGATCTGATCCAATCGCGGTGACAAATTGTATAATTCTAATTACCTTTGAGTTTGATTTTCCTTTTCTTTTTCTTTTTTTTTCGTATTGTTTTTTGTTGTTTGTTCGTGTGTTTGTGTTTTGTTTTCCCTTGTATATGGGTGAAATTTGAATTATTGCAGAAGGAGACAATATTTGATTTATACTAACGTTTATTACAAATTAACTAGCAATTAAGCAAGCAATAATGATGTGCGTTACAGTATACCTGTGTTGTAGCGTAGCGGACGCTTGAATAGCAAAGTAAAGTGGCTATTGCGCCTTTCCAACAATTATAACATCCTATTGTTCCTTTTGGAACTGTTTGACATGAAAATTCTGTGATTCCTTGCTTTATATACATAACTGAAGGATCGAATACGATTGCTATTTCAGTTGATGTAGAACGTATCCTTACTGTTGGTATTTTATGTTTTCCTTCTATGGTCATCGCAACATTGAGTATCGGCACTGGCATGTGTTGAAGAGGTGCATACTGTTACTAGCATTGTTATTGCTGCAGTAGCAGTTCACATAGTCTTCTGCGGGATTACATTTGCATGTGCCTTCAATGTTGGTGTCAATTGCCAGTGTTCTATTTTGGCAGGCGTAACTGAAGGAGGTTTTTTCTTCTAAGTATGCTGTGTTTTTCTCATTTGTTATGAAACGCTTCGACAAGAGTGTAATAGGGTCCCAATTCATTGAAGTTATTTTGACTTTAGTATTTCCTAAAGGTTTCATCACTTGCGGGGCCAATTCCACATTGTATCTTATTGTTTTGCTGTTGTGGAATTCTTCATATATTATATTTGCCTTTTGAAACGAAGGACATTCAAAGACTTCATAAATCAAGTTGTCGACAGGACATGGTAGGTTCTATAAAAAAGGCACCCTGAGGAGGGATAACCGCATGAACAACCTAATCCTCCGCTTCTGTTTAGCCACTTTCAGGCTGACGGTTAAAACGGGCGTCATAGCAAAACGTCGTCAATGGAGCGCGGTCTCAAAGAAGAAAATCTTCTGCAAAGTTGAATAAATGGAGATTTCAGGTCTTTTATATGAGTGGATTTTCACTGGCTTGTTTAATGTTTATTTCTTATCCTTTGTTATCTCTCTTGTCTGTGAGAACTTTACACTGTGCATGGTAAGCAATGCTGAAATAAACTCTTTTTTTTTTCTTCGAGACATGTTTTACCTTAAAAACCTTTTTGTTCTTCTCCCTTTGGAATTCTGCCGGCGCATCTTTTCTTTTTCTTAATGAACTTTTTTTCATATTAAACCAAAGGGGGTCTTTGTTCATCTTTCTTTTTAACATCTTGAAGCGCTTCTTCTTCATTTTGCGCAAGTGTGGCACACAACGAACAGCAGTATATGCTCCAGTGGGCCCTGCTGAAGCAGTTCTTTCAATTGCCTTTACCGTTGTGTTCACCTTGCCATTCGTTGGCCACGTGGGTGGCTGAACCGTTTTCGGCCTGTAAATTCGGCCGAAGCACCATGTTCGTACCGCGAAGCGGCACGATGTATTTTTGAAGTACACGAATGTCTCGAATATGCTTTATTGCTCACACAAGGTAAAAGAGAGATTACAAGAACCAGAGGACATAAGTTGTCTGAGAAGATTACCTTCGGGCTCCTCGTCGGGATAGGCCCCTTTGAACTCCCGGCTCCCCCTTAAGAGCCCTGCGGCTCTCTCAAAACATAATTCTCAGATAAGCCGTAATGTTCATAAAATATGATGAGGCACGCAGTACCGTGTTCTTATTCAATGGAATCATGATTGCGAGAGTCATGACAGTGCCCTTGAAAGCATCCACCCTGAGCCAAGGAGATATGGCAATGCAACGTGAACGTTGATGGAGTTCGGTGTCTTTTTTGACAAATTATGAGCGCTATTGTGTAAATGCAAGAAGTGTTTTGTCGGTATTTCTTTTTTTTTTGTAAGTTCTGGATTTCGGTCTTTTCACTAACAAGCCAGTAATAAACCAGAGTTGACAACTGACAATTCATGCATCATGTATCTCGAAAAGTTTTTAGAAAAGTTCTCCTTTCTTTCTTTGATTTCTTTGTAAAACTCTCCATTGGCTTTCTGATGAGCATATAAATGAAGTTTCAATGATATCGTAGGTTGCATTTTCGTGATACGTGTAGTACGGACCTGACATGGCCATTTATGCAAGCTATCATTTCGGTAGGCTTCAATAAATGACAACGACAAAATCGCTCAGTGCGAAAGCAAATAGTTCTTATCATATTCACAGTTAAGAACTTAAATATTAGTATAAAGGAGAGACAAAGTTTTGATCAGCGAAAGTATGATTATTATTCTAGTTCACTTCTTATATCCAACACTTTTATCCTGCAGAACGATGATACTTGTTCTATATCTTTTCTTCGCTGCATACGCCAACGCTAGAATGATCATCAATCCAAGCAAAACAGTTAGAAATGAACACAGCAGCGCTGAAATGGTGGGTTACAAACTGCATGTGTAATGCTGATTGTCCGTTTGTACGTGTGTCTTGTCTGTCTATACGTATGTTTTGAATAGAGGTTTTTATTAGGTTGTCCGGAAATTAATGTCCGTTTTAAATTTCCACCGCAATAAGTCATACACTTCTCATTTCTGAATAGGTTGCAAGGTAACATTCGTTAGAGCAAAGCAAGCCCTACAAGATGGTTATCTTGTTTTTGCAACAGCTCTCATCCATCTCGAGTTTCGAGCCAAAAACTAAAAAGACTTAGCGGGCCGAAAAATCGAAAAACATCGTAACTCAGTTCATAAAAATCCTATAAAAATTCTAACTTGCTCACGTAAACACTATCTACAAAAGACATCTATATACGCCGTTGCCGCATTTTTTTCCTTTGTTAGAAATCAAGATAACGGAAATTTTCGTGCATTCGCTAAAGTGATGCTGTGTCGTCCCCACATAAGTAGTCTTATACTACAAGGCTGTAGAAGTACGAACGTAAATTTTCAGCTCTCTACAAGCTTTGGTTCTCGAGAAATTTAAATTTTGGCTTGGACCACCTGATTAGGGAAAGCCGTATTCGATTTTTCTCGAGAACCAAAGCTTGTAGAGAGCTGAAAATTCGCGTTTGTACTTCTACAACCTTGTAGTATAAAACTACTACTTATGTGGGGACGACACAGCATCACTTTAGCGAATGCACGGAAATTTCCGTTATCTTGATTTCTAACAAAGGAAAAAAATGCGGCAACGGCGTATATAGATGTCTTTTGTAGATAGTGTTTACGTGAGCAAGTTAGAATTTTTATAGGATTTTTATGAACTGAGTTACGATGTTTTTCGATTTTTCGGCCCGCTAAGTCTTTTTAGTTTTTGGCTCGAAACTCGAGATGGATGAGAGCTGTTGCAAAAACTCGATAACCATCTTATAGAGCTTGCTTTGCTCTATCGAATGTTACCTTGCAGCCTATGCAGAAATGAGAAGTGTATGACTTACTGTGGTTGGAATTCAAAACCTGCATTAATTTCCGGACACCCTAATACATATGGAAAAGAGCACAGGCGAGTATGTGTCAATGGCTGTTCTATCGTCAGTAAGCTGTTCTATCGTTCTATCTGTTCTATCTTTTCTATCGTCAGTAAAGGCAGTTATGCCTCAACATGACGAAATTTCCAAAAGCTCAATTCTTTGACTTCTTGAGCTTCGTTTTCATGCTGTAATGGATGTAAAGAACAGCCGTTTGGTGTTTGGATACGGAGGAGTTATCCCTATTTAATGAACAACAAAAAGAACTATGATCTGCCATTTCGAAAATATTTTACTAAAAAAACGAAATTTCTTCATATTTGCGCATTATGAGAAAATTGCGATTTTTCACTTCTTTCTGGATTTTTTTCCTGGGAAGATAAGTTTCACTCAAACAGATTATATGCTCCAATACTCAGTGAAGTGCTTTTTTCAGAGATACCAAACATTGGACAAAAATTTGTCTACAGCATTTGTAAGAGCTGAAAAAGTGACCGAACTTATTTATTAGCCAACCTAATATTTCTAAACCGATCCGAATCAAACTTTGCACGCAGACATTTTGAGGCAGAGCGAGTGTCGTAGGTTACTTTTAGTTATCGATCGATATCGATTTTATCGATTTTTTCGCAAAGTGTGAGCTATGGGCTGATAGTTGACGCACGTGTGTAAGTGAGCATGCTGTTACGAAAATAATATTGAGAGAGCCAGGCGGAGCCGGGTTTGCAAGCTTATGTAAGATAAACACATACTCAAGACTTTTGCATGAAGCTTTAGCAGCCGCTAGGCAATGTTTTCTCGCGGTCAGAAACGATGCGTACAATGACAGCACAGGTTACAAAAATTGATCCGCGAGAGCTACTTCGCATGAAAAGGTAGAAGTGCCTTGACTTCAAAATGTGGTGTTGAGCAAAAACTTCCAGTTAATGTTAAATTTTTGCTTTGTTTCCTTCAAATGTTATAAACTATTTAAGTACTCGGCGCTCACAGAAGAAGCTAATTTCAAAGAGGATGGTGAGACAATAGACGAAATCAACCAAAAACGAGGAGTAGGAGAAGTTTTATATCAGGGTGACATAGTTCTTAACGAGTAAGCACATTACTCGAGCATCGTATGCCTATAGTGTGTGTGTGTGTGCTTTAGTGAACAGTTAAATGAGATTATGAAGTCAAGGGAAGGAGCCACCCGGAAAGAACGACAAGCATTCAAGGATCGGAACTATCCTGGAACAATTTGGCCTAACGGCGCTGTTTATTATTCGTTTCATCACAGCACGAGTGAGTACTGTGAACAACCAAAAATAGTCATTGTCTCAACGTCAAAAATCTAGATCGCAAGTTACAACAGCTGTTCAGAAAGGGGGCAATGGAATGGCAAAAGCAGACTTGCCTCACTTTTTTTGAGAAGCGCGATGGTGAGTCCAACACTATGAATGTGACGAAGGAAGCTGCTTTTAGCAAACGAACGTATTGAACTGATGGCAAACGATGGCTGTTGGTCATATGTCGGCAATATGCATAAGGTACAATCACTTTCGTTGGGCAGAGGATGCGAAACGGTAAAAATTTTTCAGTTTTATCGTTTTGAAGACACGTAATTTGAAATCAGATAGGTACAGCTGCACACGAAATTGGTCATGCGCTAGGCATGTTCCACACTCAGTCAAGACACGATCGTGATCGGTACATCCGGATTGATATGCAAAACATCAGGGTAGATTTCCTCTGAACTCTGCTTACCTGCTTGAGGACTCTGTTTTAGCCGTCCTTTCTCGGCCAGTTTCAAAAAGAAACTGAAAGTACCAATGACAATTACGGTTTGCCATACGACTACGGGAGCTTGATGCATTATGGCGCAAGAAGGTTCATTTTTTTTCATTATAACATCGCTAAAGACTTCATTCACAGCTTTTCTTCGAATGGTGGTATCACTATGATGCCATACAATGAGAATTATATCTACACGATGGGTTCACCATTTCTATCTTTTTACGACCTTCTCATGATGAACAAGCATTACAACTGTTTCGGTAAGATCAAAAGAAAATCTTTTAAAAAATTCTGAAGAAGGGTATCATTTGACGGAAAATTTATAATAATTTTGGATGAAAATTTTTACTCTGATATGTACATTATAGGTAAGTGCCAAGGTAAGTCTTTTGCGGCTAGGTGCGCAATGGGAGGATTTCCAAATCCTCGAGATTGCTCGAAGTGTGTTTGCCCAGGAGGATATGGGGGCAAACTGTGCATAGAGAGGGTAACGCAGTGAAATTTCCAGAGAAAATATTTTTACTCGAACTTTCAGCCAGCAGGATGCGGCAGAATCCTAAAAGCCACCACTTCATTTCGACCATTTGCTGATATCGTGGGAGATCGCAGCGTAACGTATACGAATCAAAGGGATGACTTCCTAATATGTAATTACTGGATAAAAGTGGGTTTGCTGAAGATATTTTACGCACACTAAGCACACACACACTTTTTCAGGTTCCAGCAGGAAAAAGGATTGAAATTCGTTTTGTCAACATTACGAATGGCGTTGCTAAGAATGGATGCTACTGGGCTGGAGTTGAGCTGAAAGTTCAGAAAGACCAACGTCTGACCGGATATAGGTAGGCAATGTACAAAACGAGTGTTTATGCACTTATCAAAGTTCTCAGGTTCTGCTCGTCCGCATCCACCAAGAAGATCTTCAGGTCGGAAAGAAATATTGTCCCCATCGTTACATACAGCAGAATATGGCCAGTGAAAACTACGTTGCAATATCGGATGAGTTCGTTGAATATAATCTAATGTGATTTTGTATTAAGCAAAAACCATCTAAGTAAGAAAATTATTCTTGACCATTGCAGTTTGAAGACATTCACGCTCACTCAAGGCAACTGGATGAAGCTCATATGTCAAATACTTCTTCAATCTCGCGAGCGCTTGTAAACTATAGTCGTGATAGTTTATCTGAATTGAAATTAGCCATCATGTTACTTTGATATGAAGGATTCTGCGTGGCATTTCGGAGTAAACTATCAAAACATTTGATCGAATGTGTAGTAGTCATATATTGCAACCTGGTCTGGCGAGAAAGCTGTTGGACTTTGCATTTGAACAAATTTTTGCGTCGCTCCAAGCACTGAATGGGACATACAGCATAACTTAGCATGCAGGAAATGAGCTCTTCACTGTTATCAAACATGTGTACAATGGGTTGTTTTACAAGGTCAAGCTAGGATAGGTGCACTCGAAGGGAGCGGTTTGCCGGGATCGAGGGTGGGAAGCGGAGCTTGTCCAAAAGGAAAAAAAAATGGCACGATTAAGGTGAAAAGCACTAAGCTGATGAATTGCATGTTTATCAAACTGCAACTTTCAGATAAATACTTGCAGTAAAGAATGGTGTTTTCCTCTTAGTACACGAGTAATGAAGCATCTAGAACACACCTATGTTTGAAGCTACAAGGAGGCTCAAGTGACAGGTTGCACATGATCGCTAAATATGACCCCCCCCATTGCTATCTCAATAAGACCCCTGAACTCTTGCATACCGGAGATAGACATAACATAAAGCCCTCATACCTAGCCTAACGAGTAATATACATATGCTCAATTAGCATGTCGATAATCCCTGTGGACGGAATCTGAGCGAGTTCTCAAGTTTCCAGATAATGGGCCACCTAAGTGAAATAGTCATTTTCGAACATGATCAACTTTGTTTCAAAGGTAAACTAGCTACGTCTTTATGCATGCAACACAAAGCACTACTTCTTCATTGCCTATCCCAAAATTTCCACAAGAAAATTCGCCAAACTGTGGAATTAGAAGCAAGCAAAAACAGTTTGTCCCATTTTTCGCTTTTAGTGTTTGTGCTTTCACTAACTATTACACCAATCAAAGTGAACGGATCAGGCTCAAACCACTCCTATGAAAACTGCGAGATTCAGCCATCGAATTCTGTATCATGCAAGTTGATAGGTTGTAACATAACGTCAAAGAAGTTGTAGCCTGCCACACCTTTTTTGAGGTTGTGCCAGAGCACATTAAGTATATCAAAAACACACTTTTAGCGAACAGCAATTATAAGATTCAATGACCTATCATTCATTCTTTGACTAGGAGACGCGAGCACACTTCGCGTACACCTCATTAACAAGTTCATGAATGAGTTTTAACGCGTTTTGGTTGATTCACTATTAGAATTCGTGGAAGAACATGTTTGAGCTCGTTAAACCACGCTGGCTTGAACACGTTCTCTCATGAACTCCGTGATAGTAATTAATCAAAATGTGTTAGAACTCATGCACGAACTTGTTGGTCAAAAGTACGCAAAGCGTGCTCGTGTCTCTTAGTCAGAGAATGAACGATAGATGTATTTTTCACAAGAGTGATTTAAGTCTAATCCGTTTCCTTTGCTCTGAGTAGTAGTGGTGAAAGTACAGGCATCAAAAGCGGAAAATGGGACAGACGATTTTGGCGTGCTTCTATTGGGTTGTTTCAGAAGTACTGCCCGTTTTCGATACCTTTTTTTAAACTGCCGATTTTGGAGGAAACACCATATTTCATAAGCAATGCTTATACCATGCAAAAGCTCTTTTCTTCTAGTTTTTCGGTAATATTTTCGTTTTCATAGATCTTTGTTCGCTGTGTGGTTGCGTACTTTGAAAAGACGGCGAAGCAAATGTGAAAATTTTCGTCTTTGCTCTATCCCCGTGAAATCTGCAGCCAAAAGAAAAAATTTTTTTTCAAAACATAACCTTTGATTCAACTGGCTTGGCACCATTAGGGCGGGGTTTTGTGATCTCATTGAGGCCGCTCGCGCCCGTGACGCACCTGCGTCTCTCTCGCGCGAGTGCTCTCTGATCATTACCTAGCCTTAATTAGGTCACGAAGCCCCGCCTTTGCCGATGCCAAGCCAGTTGATTCAAATGGTACATAATGTTTGCCGGAGACTTGTGCTACGAAACGCTCGTCGAGATACTACAAATTTTTAGCTCAAACATAATTTGTCTATGGTCCCTTCAAGTCGCATAAAAATCATAGACATATTGCAATAGCGGAACTTTTACTCTATATAGTAAGATTAGAGCTAGAACAACTGCTACTAGATGAACGAAAAGATTTCCTGGTTTGTCAACGGCGAACAAAATCAAAAATGTCAAAAATTGCATTTTTGCCGCCTTAGAAAGAGCAAACTAGGTGGGTCCTTTCGGATTTTTCAGCACGAAATTTTTATGAGAGAGTTTGATGAATTCCAAAGTTAGCATTACTGCTCAGTCGACTATGGGCTACACTTTGAGCAGTGCTTGTGCAACTCAGCTATATTCCCAATCAAGTTATGCTTTTGCAAAGTGAAGGTTTTTACAAGGAGATGTTCCTCGATTTTCGCCTATAAAATCTTCTCCACTGTTACTGCAATAATCCTAAAGAGTGCCCAGAATAGCCAAGGATATGCTGATTGTAATACAGTTTATACAGTACTGGACAAACTTATAGGTCCACTCTAAAAAGTGCCATAACTCACTCTGTTGTCAACAAAATGTTCCAAAATTTGATACAGTCGTGTGTTTACCAGCCTACTATCAGTCTTCAAAATGGGTCTCGTTTTCGTTTGGTTATTCAAGAAAAAATTGAAAATTTTGGAAAAAGCAGGCTTGAAGGCTGGACAAAATTATAGGTCCACCTGGAGTTTTTACTGATCAAAGCAATTCTTAGCTCCCGAATTTTTTTAGGTAGGTACACATCTAAAAACGTTTAAGAGCTGCTTTAGTCAAGCTGTGTCATACCTCCAAAAAGAACTGATTATTTGCTTTTTTGCCTTGAAAATGCTTTCACATGTATTTCGCTCTACAAACCTACGCTGAGTAAGAAATTCTGCACTTTTTCAGCTGGATCGGAAGCGACGGGTTTTCATCTACCTTCTGGATGCTTTTTGACGTAAGCATTGGGAAAAAAATCCGACCTTTTGCTGCTGAAGCAAATCCGACATTGACAATACTGCAATCCTGAGCTCAAATTCCTGCCTTCAAACTTCTTTTACAATGTTCTCAAAAACATTAAGTAAATTAAAGGCATTGTTTCTACAAGGGGAGTCCGTATTTCATGGTTACATTTTTCTAGAGATCCTAGCATTCTAGTATAATTACTGAAATCACCCTGCAGAAACTAATTACAACAAGCATCAAAACTATTTGTGGCTCCGACCAAAATTTTCAAAAGAATCATATGCTAACATACACTACAAGCTGTATCTACTATCCAGTAAATAATTACTGTCAAAAATCTAAGTGGGGTAGCACTTGGCAAGCTATTGGATTTGCGTAACACCATCATTACGTTGCACACACAACTCATGTTTCGAAAAAAAATCAAGGGAGCTTTGTGGACACTTGCGAGTATGGCGAACAGCTTCATTCTTGTGTAAAGAATGCTTCTACAACTTCTTGAGGTTATAATGACAATGCATAAAGGGTTTTAGGGCAGAAACTGAGGCTTACGCTCCCGATTGAGTCGATGTCGAATTTGCTTCAGCAGCAAAAAGTCGGACTTTTTCCTCAATGCTCACGTCAAAAAGCATCCAGAAGGTAGATGAAACCCCGTCGCTTCCAATCTAGCTGAAAAACTGCAGAATTTCTTACTCAACGCAGGTTTGTGGAGACAAATACATGTGAAAGCATTTTCAAAGCAAAAAAGCAGATAATCAATTCTTTTTGGGGGTATGACACAGCTTGACCAAAAAAGCTGTTTAACGTTTTTAGATGTGTGCCTACCTAAAAAAATTCGGGAGCTAAGAATTGCTTTAATCAGTAAAAATTCCAGGTGGACCTATAATTTTGTCCAGCCTTCAAGCCTACTTTTCCCAAAATTTTCAATTTTTTCTTGAATAACCAAACGAAAACGGGACCCATTCCGATGACCGATAGTGGGCTGGTAAACACACGGCTGTACCAGGTTTTGGAACATTTCATTGAAACAGAGTGAGTTATGGAACTTTTTAGAGTGGACCTATAATTTTGTCCAGCACTGTAGCAGTTGCAAAGATTATTTCTGAGAAGAGTTACGATGAATCAAAGTCAATGTTCGAAAACGGGTAGAACTTTTGAAACAACCCAATATTTACATGGTTCGGCGAATTTTTTTGCGGAAATTTTGGGGTGGGCGAAGAAATAATGCTTTGTATTAAGTGCAAAAAGAGGTAGCTAATTCACTTTTGAAGCAAAGTTAACCATGTTCGAAAATTTTTCGAAATTTCGCTCAGGTGCTCAGTATCTGAAAACCGCAGAATTTGCTCATACTTGGTCCACAGGAGTTATTTGATGCTAATTATGGCTAAATCACTCTTTATGCTTGGTAGAGCCTTTCTATTATTCTGGCAGATATACTCAATATTTTACGTGCATCTATTTCGCTTGATGGGGTCATCTGACATGTTTACTAAGATGCTATTTTTAATACAGCTATTGTCGGTATCATTTAATTATGGTCCTTTTTTCTTTTTGACACCTCAATAGGACCACCTAGGTGTGACGTGCCATACTTCACGCTTGACCCTGGCTACAAGGGTTGTCTTAATGAATTAAATAGAACAAAAAAGAATATTCTTCTGAAATCGAAATGATCGGTCGAACTCAATAATCAACAAGGTCAGGCCGCCTGAGCTAACCCTGTGTCTTATTCGTCAATGTTTTCAAACTCCACATATTACTTTATTTCTGATATGAGTTTGCCTGTAACATGTTACTGCTAATATAAAGATTATTCTAGTCTTTTAGTTGGCTTTTGAAAAACCTCATGTGACTAGAATTCGCAATTCCAAATTCAGATTTATTGTTGCATTCTGTAGTCAAGTGCGATCGCTGGAAATTTTGCCAGCAGGTTTCGACAAGCAAAACTCGTTGAAATAGGCTATTTTTTCTGCAGTATGCACATTACGAAGTTTCGCAGATGGAGGAGAGGAAAGATTGAGAGGAGGGGGAGGGGGTTTACCTGTGCAAGCAGAAGGTTGTTTATCAAACGTGTTTGGTTTCACGCTTGACCTTCGTTATACTTTCATATGGAAGTAGAAGCCGAAATACAAGAATATATGCCCACAGATACAAACCTTCCATGAACATTATGTTCCTCACCATGTTCCAATTCAGATATTCTCACCGGATGGCCTGCTAACATGTGTGTGTGTAATTAGTTCTGCCCTACCGTTCGTTTTAAATGTATTTAAATTGAAACCAATACTGCTCGATTTGCCACGCGGATTTACACCACAACAACCACCAGGGCGCAAACCATTTACCTACTCAAACTTGGGTAATTAAACCCTTGTCGGGTTACAAATACACGACGAGCGAAGCGAAACGAAGCAAAAAATACAATGTCAAATAAACTCAATAATGCACAAAATAATTACGACATTGCGCAATCTACAATCCCTACAAGCTATCCTAGCGCGGAAAACTGGTGCGCATCTTGAGGCTTAAAAACGCAGAAAAGAGGAGAGAAGAAATGTAAAAACGACTAATGTGCGCAGACGCGGAGAAAGCACTGATGATTTGCGCGATTTGCCCTAGCCTTTTGCCTTCCGCTAAAACAACATTACAACAGAGCATGTTCTCAAAACAATCTTATCACTGTATCACCGATCCATGCATGGAATGTGTGATCGCGACGATACTGCCGGCCCTATGGTGCTTCTCTCCTCAGTCTCCAAATTTCCTCTTTGATCTCCTGAACGCGTGCCATATGAATTCTTCTTGCATCCTTTGCTTGTCGGAGCTGTGCCGCAATTTCATCGCTTTTCTCGGGCAGTCCGCAGAGCGTGGAATGGTGCCCTCTTTTTTGACAATGATAGCATCTTTCCTCGTATTTGCGGCATAGGGCACCACCCGCGCATATGATGTCAAGACAATACTCGCATCTTGCCTTTGCCAGAAGGATTTCTTTCCTTTCTTGCGCAGTAGGGTGCGTTGTACATGAATCCGAGTCATGTGCGCCTATCGCTTCGCAGAACGCGCGGCGCATGTTGAATTCATTTGTTCTTTGAATCGCTCCTCTCTGAAACTTTCTTGGTCGACACATTCGTTTATCTTCGAGTTCGTCGATGATCAGGGTCAGATTTGCGATCGCTTGCTCGTTTTGGTGCATTTCCAGTTTTAGTGCGGGAATTCTTAGATCTGGTTCTATGTCTTCTTCATATTGCGCTTCTTCCTGAAGGTTTTCGGCATTCGCTGCTTCTTTTCATGTTCTTGTGGCGGTCTTTCTCCCTCTACTTCCTCATTTTGTGTGTCTTCTTGAGATTTGTGCGCATTTGCTTCTTCATTTTGGTGTTCCCGTGGATCTTCCATCTCTAGTTCTTCCTATCTATCTCGAGTAATTCCACGAAATCGTCGTTGTTTTCGATAGTTTCTTTTTCTCTTTTTTGCAGCGTGTGCGCCTCGTCTTCGCGGGGTTGCGCAGTTTCTTCGCAAAGTGTAGAGGACGTTTCCTCATCTGGGATTTGTTTGTTGTTATTGAAATGACGCGCAATTTGTTGTTTCAATTCTTGTAGTTCTTCGCGCAGATGTCGAATCGTCTCTTCGTTTGTTTTTTCAGCATTGTCCATTTTGTTGCGCAGTGATTCTAGTACTTGCGATTGGTAATCGATCGTTGCTTGTAAGTGAGCGATTGCGTAGTGCAATGTGCGAACTTCCTTTTGAGTTTTTTCGTGTTTCTGTATAGCGCCTGAAAAAAATAAAGAATTTAACTCTTTTTTTCTCTTTTTTTTTCTTTTTAGCTATGCTACATAAATTTATCAAAGACTTTTCACATGACGTTTTTCCGCCGCACTTTTTCCCCTTTGCTTGAGTATCGAGCGCATAGCGTAGTAACTCAGTCTTAGCGGAAGGGTTGCGAGCGCAAAAACCATTTTTAGCACAAAGACGAACATTCGCACGCTTAATGTGTGAAGGCACAAGTAAGTGCCTAGAAGAGCTATTGCGACTGCTGTGAGCGCTATGATAAGAGTTTTGTACCAACTCATGAAAAGGTCGGCTATATGCGAAAAATCGGGGAGTGCCATTTCATTGTAAATTACGCTATTCCCTTCGATTTTTGTTGCTATAACGTCATTCAGCGCTCCTATATACTTCAAAATGCCCGACAATGCAATTGCTTGCGTACTTGCACCGCATGTTATTGTGCAGTTTAGGTTTTGCCTCGCGTTACTGAAATGAAAGCGTAGTGTTGGTGATTGTGGTGATAAGGCCGAACATGGTACCAAGAATGTATGTCGTTGGCATAGGATTTCCCCTAATGTTGCTGTTTCTGACTTGCACTGTATGCGTGCCTCTGCACCTTTCGCGCAATTGTAACATCCGCGAAGGTGTGAGTCGTTAACAATACAGGTGCTATCCACAATTTCTACTAGCGCGGTTTCAAAGATTTTTTGAAAATTTACAATGAATTCTGCAGACACCATGTGTGGGATGTGCGCCGTGAGTTTATTTTTCCGTATCGAAAGCTCCCAAAATGGATTCTTTAATGGTAGTTTAGATTGTATATTCTCAAATTCTTCTTGAATGTGCGACTCCGCGCATTGACAATTGACCTTATTTTCTGCTCCCTCGCATCTACAGTTGTCAGCGTAAGAGCAGTTTAGGGCGATGGCTTTTTTCTTTGTTGCGCAGCGCAAATTTGGTTCAATCATTTTAGGAAATAACGCAGTATCCCTACCGTTGGTCACAAAATCATAATTAATGAGAGATATGGGTGGAGTAGTGCAAAGAGTCAGTGTAATTTTTAACATGGAGAGTGTTACCGGGATATTCGGAGTGGCTGTGATGATAAATGCTCTTTTCCCTAGGTTCAGCTCCTCCACGGTGACCTCCAACTTAACCTCTTCCTTCCATTGCGCGCAGTGGAAAATTTCGTAAATTTCAGAATTCTGTGGACACGCGATAAAATAGGCAACCAGAATTGGGATAAAAACAATCACAGCCTATGCCGCCGCATGATTCCAGGCATCCAGTTCTTCCTGGATACTGATTTCCTTGGTGCAATTCTGGCAACAAAGTGGATTCGTTTACTGCTGCGCATTTTGCCCCCGTGCAGGAGCCCATATGGGCAGCGTTTGCCGTCAATTACGTTGAGCTTTGTTGCGCGCGTAAAAAACATAGTCTCCTTTGCGCATGTTAGCCTCAATCCACGCCACCGAATCTTTACGTTTGCGATTAATGACGAGTTTTTCATCAAGCGTAAACATGCTTCTTGTTTGAATTTATTGAGTTTTAAAACCTCGACTATGGTAGTTTGGCAAATTTCTTTGTGATTTGAGACGACGCAGCTGGTGGAATGATGTTCTAGTACGTCGATTTCCTGACAGGAGAGTACTCCGACATTTTGTTGTTGCAAGAGTACTGTAACCAGCGCTAGTGCTGCCGCTATCTTTTGCGCTCTCGCTGAGTATTGGCGTCTGCATAACATGTGAACAGTGTGTATAACGCATTTGCCCACGTTCCTCAAAACGCTAGTGGTAATCACTCTGGTTGCGCTAACTGTAAACTTTAGGATTTTTCCTATCAGCGCCGCTATGCACAAAAGTGAGTACAGCGTTGTTGCGCCAATGTATACTACAAAGGCCATTAGGAAAACAGCTGCTTTTGGCCAGCATTCTGGGTTGAACAGTAGTTTGGCGCAGAATGTGCAATCGAGGTTTTTACAGAAGTCGAGAGCGGGGCAACGAGTTGTAAGGATTGTAAGTCGCCCTCTATCATTTCATTTCGCCGTTATGAGATAATCATGTAAAGCGATCTCTATTGGAGGTTTTATGAAGTGTGGGCTGTTATGCTCAATTTTTCGCAGTTCGCAAACCGTTTCCATGCAGATTTCGAGGCTGATATTTGATGAGGACGTAAGTATAGCCCCGTTTTCCTCGCAAAAGACCTTTGTTTCTACTGCGCTGCTTCCAAAGTTGAATTGCATGAGCAGTATCATGAGATTAAACAAAAACCAATGCTTTGAAAATTTTGGTTTGGTTTCCTGTGCCTGTGTTGTCATGGTTTCCGTGTAATGTACAGGCTTTTTTGGTCGTAAGTTGTAGCCAGATTTTTCGCGCTGTAGTGGAGTTTCTTGATGCAAATCTTGATGTGTTTTTTGAGCTTGCAAATCGCAGTTGTTAGAATCCTCATCTTCTAACTCAAGCGGAATTAGTAAGTTTACGGGACGGTGAATTTTTCTTTTGGTCGATGTGACTAATTCTACTTCTCGTACTTGATTATCCGAACCTGTCAGGACTTTTGTAATACGACCTAGTCTCCATTCGTTACGTGGTAGTATCGGGTCTGTGATGAGGACCACGCTTCCTAGTCTTGGGGTTCCTTGTCCAGCGCGTTTATTCCCAACGCATTTTTTGTGTTGTTCGCGCAAACTGATGAGATAGTAGTTTTTCCTACTTTCCAAAATCGTTCTACACGTTTGGTTGAGTTTTCCAGTGCTAGTTCTGCTTCTTTGCGCGTTTGAAGCGCCTGAACTTCCTGAGGAAGCACGAAGTCTGGATCATCATTTTGGTTCATGTAGTGATCTTGAGAAAGTGCTATGATGATATCTTTTTCTATGAAATCGATGGGCCTGATACATGTTAATGTTTCTTGCTCCGCGCCTTGGTATGTTAATGGTCGCGAATTCAAACAGGCCTTAATTTCCATCAAAAATGTTGTGAGTTGATCTAGTGTCGGTATTGACAAGCAGCGTAACGTTTTATACAGCGCAAGTTTGATTGATTTTATCAGACGTTCGTAAAATCCCCCCTGCCATGGGGCGTAGGGAGTGATATGATACCACTGGATTTCTTGATTTGCTAACGTGCTTGCTACTTCGTCACTCAAGTCTACCATGTTTCCATTTTTCAAAATAGCACTGCACAAAAGAAAAGTTGGCGCATTGTCGCAAGTAATTGATGATGGTTTTCCTCTCCTTGCAATGAATCTTTTCAGCGCATTGAGGAAATCTATGACCGACATGCTTTGCACTAATTCTAGGTGAATCAGGCGTGTGACTGTGCAGGTAAATATGCAGCCGTATGCTTTTCGTTGTTCGTTGTCTTGGTTGTTTGTCGAAAGGGCAGGTCGAAGAAGTCTAAGCCTATGTGTTGGAATGGTCGGCATTTTTGTACCCTTCTTTCGGGGAGGTCCGTAGTGGAGGGATAAGGAAAGGGTAACACATTGAACCTTTTACAGTTTGCGCATCGAGAAATCTCTTTCCTTACTCGTTGGCGCAACTTAGGTATCCAATGACGCATGCGCACCGTAGCGATGGTGTGATCAACTCCTCTATGGTAAGAACCATGCGCTTCGCGTATTATAATTTTCGCTAATGGGCTGTTTGCGCCTACATAAATTGGGTATTTTGTTTCCTCTGCAAACATGCTTTCCCGATTCGTCCTTTAGAGCGCCAGATCTTTGCGTCATCTTTAAAGAGTCTTAGAGAATTTTCTCATGGTAGTCCCGTCAATTTGCAGTTTTGATTATATGTTTTTTAGCTCTGGTATGTTGCTTATGATCTGTTCTTTCCTTGCTTTATTGCGCATAGTTTTGAGTAGAAAAATCAAAACACATGCCATAACTCGTTTTCCCTCAACAAAGGAACTAAATCTGCGCAAGTCAAGAAGTGCGGTTTGATGAGGATTATCTTCGTTTGTTGCGCATGTATTAACTTCAAAGATTTCCTCATCTTCTTTTATGAATATTTTATATTCCGTGGTAGGCCATGTTTCAGTTTCTTGTTGCAAAAAACTCGGACCGGACCACCACATATCTTGCGCAAATTGTGCTTTTGCTAAGCCTCTAGTGCCTGCGTCCGCCGGATTGTCTTTAGTAGAAATGTAATTGAATGTAATTATGACCCCCTCTTTCCTGAGAACCAGAACGATTTTCCGGATTTCGCGCAGTCTGTTTCTAACGAGTACTCCGGCGTTTGTATCAGTTGATGTGTTTGAGAGCCAGCTTAGTACGATCTGGGAGTCAGAGAACAAAAATATCTGTTTCAGATGGATGCTTCCGCGCTTTCTTTTGAGGCAGTGTACGATAGAGCTAGCCTTGCGGCAATAGTCAGTGCGTTCATTTCTAGTTTTGGAATTGTTGTGACTGATTTTATTAAGGGGAGAATATCGCTAGCGTCTGCAAAAATAGCTAATTTGCTGTCGTGTAAGTCTGGTAGAATTTTTCTTGGTATATGCTTATGGAAGTCGTTTGCGCTTGCGGCGATAGCGTTCTACTGTTGTGTGAGGTCTTCAGGTAGGATTTGATCCCAGGAATAATGCTTTTTCCACAACTGCTTTTGAAAATGTTTTGCAAGAGTGGGAAGAGGGATC